AAGCTGTAAAAATCATTATCCCTAAAATTTTGTATATAGCTATTATAAGTTATGTTAATTTGATTTTAGTATGAAATCCTCGAATAAACACAGCAAAAATAGCATAATCTAAATAATATCAGATAAAAAGTTCATGTATTTAAATTCTAAAAACTTAGAAAATCATAAATAATTTATAAATCGATTCAAATTTTCTTTTCAAAGGAGATTATTATTATTATTATTATTTTTTTTTTTGCTTTTCGAACATAAATCAACTTAAAAATTGTCTATTGCCTAGAAACTTCGAGATGTTTTCTATTAACTATTAATTAAACCTCTCTGAGCAATCACAAAACATTATTTCAATTTTTTTACAGTCAGAGATTGGTTGCCTAGCAACGTAGTAAACTTAAGCGTTCCTCTTTTGAATGAGACAATGGGTTATCTTAAAATATTCATATGCGCAGGCGACTTTNCAATGAATTAAACCTCTCTGAGCAATCACAAAACATTATTTCAATTTTTTACAGTCATAGTATGGTTGCCTAGCAACCTAGTAAAACTAAGCATTCCTCTTTTGAATTAGACAATGGGTTACCTTAAAATATTCATATGCTCAGGCGACTTTTTTTGGCGGTTTTCTGGACTATCGCCAAATATATAAACCTTAATTGCAACCCAATTTACGACCCAATTTTTTCCTAATTCAAGTGTCTAGATTCCAAATACGTAAAGAAAAATATATGTTTATTCATAGAAAGTACGTTTTGTGTCTGATTTTGTAACTTGATTAATAGTTAGCACTAATTAATTAGCATATTTGAGGTCACCCCCAGAAATCATTAAGATTGACACTTAGTTCGTGAAAATCCGATCATTAGAACGAAAGTTATTCGGGGTGATATCTTTTTTTTCTTGCGGACTGAACATACACAACACTAAATATTATGACACTAAGTATAAAATATGAAAAAATACGCATGTATTGTAAAATTCATTAAAAAAAAGGAAGTAAAATAACATCAGTGGTCATAATTAATATTCACGAGAGAAAAATACAAACGGTATCAAAATATAATGAACCGCTGCTTAGGAACGCGACACTGAAAATATTGAAACCAGTTTGATTGCCAGATGAAATAGAAAGAATGAGAAATGTGATTATTCTAAACACCACGAAATTTCATCACGATAAATTAAAAAATAAAAATAAGTTGTAATACTTAGAGCTAAGCTTCTCTTTGTTACTTCTCACAGTCAAACTGGTTTTGATGTTTTCAGATCTGATTCCTTAGTTGATTCACTAAATTTTGAAACTATTAGTCTTTTTTTATTGCTTTAACATTAATCTGTAATTCCTAATTAAAACACTTTTTAAAACTTTTTTTCGCAATATTCAAAAAATATATATTAAAACTAGTGATTATGCAATATCTTATGTATTTAATAACCAGAAATTTTTCGAATTCATATTAAAAGTGTGTAATGTAATTTTTATTCACAATTTTTCGCTCTTTTATGTTGATAGAACAAAGTATGTAATCAATGTGTTATTTTAATTTCTCTTCCCTGACCCTCTTTTGCCATTCATGGAGAAGAGTTTTCTGAGTAGAAATTTCTGCACTGTAAACTTTAATTAACGTAGTTATAGTTAATTAAAATCCGCATTAGCATTGCATGGAGAGGAAAAACCTCCCAGGGTTAGTGATAAAATTTTGTAAAGTATACTTGTCTCAATCTGTTGTTATGTTGTAAGTTTTAATTAAAATCAATAAATGCCTTTTCTTTCAAAAATTGGGGTATCGTACTTTTTTTATAAATTAATTTCGATTATTTTGAAAAATCTTTATATTAATTACAGTGAGCAACTTCAAAAATCTATGTATTAAAATGTAAAATAACATAGAATTGTTCTAGTTTGTTGTTTTTAATGATTTATTAGAAAAATAAATTTCAGCTTATTAGTCGAAAATGTTATAATTTATTTTTACGACACAACGTTTTATTTATTTTTAAACACAACGTTTTTACTACGTAATTTGTATATCTGTTATTAGAAGTATTTTGCAGAAACTCAGAAAAAACTCTGCCACAGGGTAAATAATAATTGTAAAATTCAATAAATGATAGAACATTAATAAAATCTAAATTTCTTTAACATAAAGAATTTCGTTGCCAAAATAACTGTTGAAAAAAATTATTTATGAAATGAATGTATTTTTAATATTATAAAATAATAGTTTCTAATATAAGAATATTTTATTTATAAAATGCAAATTTGGCAGAAACAAATTTTTGATGAACTTTCTTATTTCAATTATCATATTATTAAATTATATTAGTATTGTTAAAGTCTCTTTAAAAGTAAAATATCTGTCCCCCCAGTTAAAGAATTTTTGATCTTTACAGCAATTTTATTTTAAACCACTGTTTTAAAAATTTATATTGGTTATGTAGGTAAATAGATAATTTTTAATTTAAATTAATATTCATCAAAATTTATTTAATTACATCAAATCATAATCATTATTTTAAAAATCTTCCTATTTTGTGAAAATTTCGGCTGTTGTCCCTGCATGTTACACTAATGCATGGATTAAAAGAGATATCTATGCTCAGGATAAATTAAAATCAATAAAAATATTAAAAATAAATTTTATAATCTAAAAAAGAATTGAGAAATAAAATTCATTATAACACCAACGATGTTAAAGTGATTAAAATTCCGCTTAGATATGTAAAAAATCACACTCGATAAATTGAATTAATACTTCTCACATTTCAATATCAAAAATTAATGTCAATTTCAAACACAAAAGTAATATATTTCAAATTAACATTAATACCAGTTTTATTTTAATTTTAATAAAATAAAAATAGTAGAATAAGAAAAAGCCTATTATACACGTGCGTTACGAAAAAAAAATTAAGGTTCAATATATTTTGTTACATTACTATAGAATATTAATTACATTAAGAAAACCTTTAAAGAAAAGAAATATCAAAATAATTTATAATCCAAATTAAATCTGATAAATTCCACTTACTAAATTTATTGCCGACTGTATTTCCAGCTTATTTTTCCACTTTCTTAGAGGAACTTCCTTAACTCTTATCAGACACGGAATGAATAAGAATTTCATAGTACGGTACGGGGCGAGGGAAGGAGTGGGACTATCACACTAATGCGCATGCGTGACACATAGGTGCACGTCTAAACTCGCAGCCTACGAGCGCGGACGGTGACATCACTATTCACCGAAGTCAATAATATACCCCCGTTCGATCAGGATCAGGCATAGATCAGGGCCCTCAAAAGGAGGAGAAGTTACAGGCAACAAAAAATTCTACCCCCTTCAAATAGTGACATCAATTATTGAACTCTCCTCCTTACCGAAATTCGACTACGGGAGGGGAAAAAAAGTTGGAAGTACAATTCAAAGAGACTAGTTTAAAAGGGTAGCTACAAAATTGGCTGTTTTTCGCCAAAAGATATTCTTTCTCAATATTCTCTCATTCCTTTCTTTTTTTTTTTAATTCTTCCGATTGTTTACATAAGTATGATATTGATAGAAACTTATTTTCATAATTTAGAATCAAAGTTTCTTTTCCAAGCACATATAATAAATAAATAAGTAATAAATAAATAAAAATTATATTGAGAAATGTTAAATAAATATGTTTAAATGGGCCAGAATTCGACGGATTTATATTAAGATCCCTCTTTATGCGGGAATAGCTGATAAGTTTTGGTTTAATTCGTTTAATTAGAAGACAAATTAAAAATGTGAATCTCTAAATATTATGTTTCAATTTTGAGGATTTCCCCAAAGTGGGAATCAAATACTGTTTGCACCTATTTACGTTAAAATAATTTTATTATGAAAGTATTTGTATTCAACAATTGCAAACATATTGACATATTTGTATTCGTGAGTATTTTGACAAAGTTTTTTTTTATATATATATATATGTATATANACTATTCTTACTTTTTGGAGGAAAAAAAAAACGAATTAATAATATTTAAAAAAATACAAAATATATATTAGTTTTCAAGTTACAATTATAATACGAAATAGCAATGGTATTATAGAAATTAAATAAAGTTTTTTACTCAATAAAAAAATTTTTACGTTTACTCAATTATTGAACATAAAAATATTGAATAATTTTAAATATTATAATGTTTTATGCTTGAAATTGAGATATGGTTAGAAATTTTACATTAAAAAGTAAATGCTATTTATTTCATAAAAATTAAAATAATTAATATTTATTTTAAAAAATATCTATTTTGTTTCTAAGGCAAATGCCTCAATTCAAGTAAAATCAATAGAACCTTAGTCTCTTTTTAATTTATTTTAAAAATTTTTGTTCGAATTTTTCTTTAAATTGTTTTTGTTCTATATGACACTACATTTAAAAAGTCAAAATATCCTATTTTTCCGTTCTTAAACTCAGCAATTTTTTCGCTAATAAATAGTTCTTTTCTTGCTATTTTTCGAGGTCCACTAGCCTCGGCAGTGTTTATTCTAATGTAAGTATCACTTTGTATTAAATTAAAGTTTTTGACAAAAAGAAAGATGTTACGGTTTGTTGCTCCAAAAAATGAACTATACCTGCTGTGAAAACTCTCACAAGAATTAGTTGTTCGCCACAGATCAGAAGAGTCAGCTGCCCACATGGAAAGAGGATACGGCGTGTTATCATCTACGTCGATGTAGTTTTTTGCTAAATAATCAGAAAATTCCATCACTTCTGATGTCTGATTCCCAATTAATAAAAAAAATGCCACTTCGACATCTTCTGGACCTAAATATGTAAGACCAAAACAATAGCGCTGCCATCTTCCAGTTGGAGAATCTCGGTCTTTGTGGTGCCTACTAAGACCTAATTGCTGTATTTTTCTCCACCTGAAAAAGATCACTCTTGTAGTATTATGAATTTGAAATAAGTAATAAACAAATAAAAAAACGCAATGTTGCAAAATGCAAATACAAATTAAAGAGCATGCACTACAGTATATTTAAGTAGATGTTTTAAACTTAATACTAGATTAAAATAATAATAATTCATTTTAAAAGTTTGAATGCGTGTTAAATATGAAAGAGGGACAGTGTTTATTATGATTTTTACAATTTGCAGCTAATTAAAATTAAACAGATCAACAAATCAGTATGTTTTAAAGCTTAAAATTCTATTTAGGATTTGTTATGTACTCCGATTTGTCATATATTTCATAACGATATTTTATTTTCATTGTTTATTTTATCGAGGTATGTCATTTTTTACGACTTTTGTGTTATTTGTATTATTTATTTATCAAACATTATGCAAAAAAAAACACGAAATCCACCTCCGGTTTTTTTCACAAAATAATATGTAAACTGGGTGGTGAAAATCAAAGTAAAAATTGATAACTATTTCCTTATTAACTTCTTTGTGTTATAGATTGCGTTGCTTTAACTTCTTCACTTAATATGTTCACTTAAAAATTATCCTGGCTTAGGATGGCAACACGATGGTGTTGTTTACTCGAATATTCAAGGTTTTAATAAAAAAGCAAAGTAAAAAAAAGCTTATGCAAACTATAAACAGAAGTTATGCAATGTATGATTGATATCGATATATGGTATTAATATGTTTGATTTGAAAATCATTTAAAATCAATGTAAATTAAACTAAAATGTGCATTGATATGAAATAATGAAACATTAGTGTTCTTCCTCCTTAATTATTTGAAGAAATATTTCTCCTAACTCAGAATAAGTTCACAATTATGTTATTAATTAGTTTATTAATTGTTTATTAATTGATTAATTGTTTTGCACATTAATTTAATGAGCATATTTTAAGCGTATTTAATATCCGTCGTCGTATTTTTGGGTTTACGACTACTTATGTTCAACTCCGTAGCCTTGGAATTTTGAACCCAATCCAGAAGACAAGGGAACTCCTGGATCGAATAATGGGAGAAATTTGCCTTCGTGGAGGACTTTTTGACGGAGCTAATCCGCATTTGCGTTACATAGAGAGGAAGACCGCGAGAACCTTCCACGGTTAGCCTGACAGCAAGACGACTCTAACCGATGATATGTCTATCACTGAGGATATTTCACGTCAGCACTGTGGTCAGTGCAAACCGGATGCGGAATTCGTTTTCGCTGGGATTCGAACCCGGTTCGCCTCAATGGAAGAAAAACGCTTTATCCCCTGAGCCATCGCATTTTGCAGAAGTTTTAATCTTAACGAAAATTGAACAACTATTTTAGTAAAATTTTTCCTACGTACACACAAAACATTATTGATATCAACAAATTTACCTTGTAAGTTATCTTTCCTTTGGGCTTCAACAATTTCATTCAATTTTAACAAATGTGAAACATGAACATTATTATTTTTACCATCAATTTTGACAAGTGAATGAGTTGCATCTCTCGAAAGCCAATCAGCTTCAAAATTAGCAGAGCCTTTTGTGTATTTAATATCATATTCATACATACTTAACAATAATGACCATCTAAATAATCTACCTTTTATATTTTTAACATTTCTTAGCCAAACTAAAGCAGCATGGTCAGTATGTATGGTGAATTTTTGTCCAAAAAGGTAATGATGGAATTTATTTAGAGAATCGACAATAGCAAGACTTTCAAGTTCTGTAATTACATAGTTTTTATCATAGTCCCTTAATGAACGAGAATGAAAAGCTACAGGATGCAATACACCACATTCATCTGTCTGTTTTAACACAGCACCAATTCCAAATAACGATGCATCAACAAAAAGATGACATTCATGATTAGGGTTAAAAATTTTCAAAATCGGTTTACAAATAATAGCATTCTTTAAAAGTTCAAAAGATTGTTGACATTTTTCTGACCACACCCATTTTACATCTTTCTTTAACAAGTTATTTAAAGGATGTCGAATACTTGCATAACAATCAATAAATTTATTGTTAACATTTATTGATCCGAGAAATCTTTGCAATGATTTTACATTTTTAGAGGGCAATAATTTTTTAATCACTNGGATGTCGAATACTTGCATAACTATCAATAAATTTATTGTAAACATTTATTGATCCGAGAAATCTTTGCAATGATTTTACATTTTTAGGGGGCAATAATTTTTAAATCACTTCAATATTATGGATATCGGGTGATAAAATTCCATTTTTAATTTCATATCCTAAAAATTCTATTTGTTTTTGCAAAAATGAACATTTTGAAAGTTTTAATTTTAAGTTTTCTTGTTTACAAATTTCAAAAATCTTTTTAAGATGGATTAAATGTTCATCATAATTATAAAATATAATGATATCATCAAAGTAGTTTGTAACAAATTTAATTTTATGTTTATTTAAAATTCTACGAACTGTACGTTGAAAAATGCTCGGGGCATTCTTCCAGCCAAAAGGTAATCTTAAGTATTCAAATAGACCGTTGTGAGTAGCGAATGCTAGTTTCTCAGTGTCATCAGGATGAATACGAACATGATGATATCCCTGTGATAATCTATTTCAGAATAATAACTACTATTAGACAATTTTTCTATTAAAGTTTGTATTAAAGGTAGAGGTTCAGAATCTGTTTTTGTAATTTGGTTTAATCTTCTAAAATCAATACATAAACGACTTTTTTTATTTTCATCTTTTTTAAACACTAAAGTTACTGGGGCAGCATAAGGGGATGAACTTTCTTTTATAATGTAATTTTTTAACAATTCCTCTATTTGTAAATCAATTTCTTGTTGTTGTTTTGGGGATGTTTTGTACGGCCTTAGAGATATAGGTAACTCTGAGGTTAACCTGACTCTTTGCGGTTCCATTCTGATTTCTCCTACGTCATGTTTGTGTTTCGCAAAAATATCATCATAACTTTTTAAAATTTCTTTTAAGTCCACATTTTCTATCTCGCTTTCATTTTTTATTTTTTCGTCGATATTAACCTGGTAATGTGTGCACCCATTACCTAGATCTATCTTCGAATCATTTGAAATTTTTGGACATTTTCTCTTTTTCCTATTTTTCTTTTATTTTTGTTACCCTTTACATTATTTTTGTCTTTGTTTACTTTTACTGAAACATCTTTAACTTTTATTTTTTCAACACTTTTAACCTTAACATTTTGAGAATTTTGCTGTCTAATGTGCAAAGATAAATTGTCACTGTTAGAATTAGCAGAGGTGATCAATCTCTTACCAAATTGACTAAAAACTGGCCCGACACAATCAATAAACAAACAAAAATCTTTGCAAGTCTGCAACAATAGTAAAGCATATGGTAAATC